CATTTCTGATTTTCTGTACAAATTTAAGCTTGATCTGCCTTGTGTGATCAAGAATAAGATTACATGCTGTAAGAGCTCCCCAGCCTTGGAATGCAGTGATCCAGAAGGGTAATTCTCCATGCTTTTCTTTCATCTGAAAAATTGCTCAGATTTGCTTTGTTCTGGAGTTACACACTGGAATAACATAGTATGCTCCCAGTTGAAAGCAAGTAGGTGGGGGACTGGTGCTAGAGAGTGCAGTCACCATGAGGGGGTAGGCATAGGGGGAGGGCATTTTGAGATTAAATAAGGGGATTGAAGAGCTGAAGTACCAAAAATGATGGAAAAGTGGCAGATAATTATGGAAATCGGGTTTTAAGCAAAAATGTGATATGCTTGCAAAATATTAATAAATATGTGTGTCCACTAGGCCTAATACAGTGTCTTTCAGAGCTACTCATATTTACAATATCTGTTCAAAAATGGATAGATACAAGTTTCCTCAATATTTGTATACTTCTAAAGAAGGGAAGTAAGAATTTGAAGGAGCAGAGTAACTACTTCTCTCTGTGTGCTTAAAAAAGAGGAGATATGCATTCATAGGTTTCATACTATAGATATTGATATGCACATAGTTGCTCCCTCGTAACAGGGGTGGTTAGTCACTGTGCTGCAAAGAGCCTTAGATCCTAACGCTCTCTGTTTTCAATTAATTTTCTTGAAGGAAAACAGTAACTGATAATTACAAAGGATTATAATAACACAGGAACAAGAACACTTTCTAGTAGACTGAACTCCAAGTTTCTTCTGTGTTGGACAGCTGCCTCAAGAAATGACTTTCTTCTCACTGAAAAGCCATTATGCATCATTCATAAATGCGTAACTAGAGGCTTAAAACTTCACACAACACTGAAAACATCCTCCCTTGTTCCTTGCAGAATTACTTCTTTTCTCACTTACCGTAATTTAACTGAATCCAAGATACCTTTGAATTTAAAATGAGCCCCAAAGAATTGATTCTATACCTGGAACATTTATTAATTTGTTGTAATTTTCCATCTATAGAATTTAATATTGGAAGGTCAACTTAAATTTGTGCCCCCATGACTGCAGTGGGGCAAACAGCAGTTTGGGGAGCCAGGTGCTGGGGGAGGGAGGCAACTGGGTAGTCAAGTGGGAGACCCTAGCACTTCCCCCTGCCTCCTTATCATACATTTGCTTCCCAGCTGCCTGCCCCCGAGGTGGTGACTGCATGCTGCAGAATCCATCCTCTCTGGCACTTAGCTGTGCCTGTGCCCCTTCCATCCATGCTCTTTTATGGTGCCTGCACCCTCTAGCACCAGTCCCCCAACACCTGCTTCCCCAGTGCCTGTCCCCCTTTTTCTAGGCTAGGACTGGATCTGCTGCCACTGTTGCATGGCTGGGCAGGGGCTGGAATGCCCATGTACTCAGTGCGCTGGAGCTGGAGGGTAAGTGGTGGCCGGGAGGAGTGGAGGGAAGGAAGCAGCAAAGGAGAGACAGCAAGGGAGGGGGGCAGAGGCATTTCAGGGTAGAGTCAGTGCAGGGGGGAGAGGGCAGCTACTACAGATCCAACCTCAAGCTTGAGTCGGGACCAGAGTTGCAGTCACAGCAGTCACTTGGCCTCCCACTTGTCTTGGATTTGAGTACAAGAGCCTTTCTTCCTATTTTAAATGTGGGGAGGATACCTCGTCTTGGATTCAAGTAAATACAGTGCTTTTTTGGGAACCAGTTGGAAGGATGCTAAACAACTGAAATATAGTTGTCAAGGCATTCAGTCACTGCTGCACAGAAGAATGGTAGTGCTTCTGTTTCAGCAGCTTGCCACATACAAATATTCTTGTGTTACTAGGAATGTGCATAAAAGCAGGTCAAAAGCCAAGCTTCCCTGGAGTGCAACTCTGTCCTTGCCTTTTACTTCACAGAAACAAGCATCTTCTCTCCTTACTGAAAATGTAGGCTGAAGGACTACATGGGGAAGAATTAAAAATAAATTTGCTTCCAATTTTTCTTTTTTTTTTAAAACCTCTCCATTTAAAACTAAACCAAAAGGGAAACATTTATATGACAGGATTCTATACTGGCTTTGGAGGTTGACAGTTAACAAATGAAATAATCACAGAGACTCATCTGGCAGATGTTATATTATTGACTTGAACATCTGCTTTGGAGACATGGTACCTCTTGTGGCCTTATAAAACCATAGAACATGAGGGTCGGAAGGGACCTCAGAAGGTCATATAGTCCAAGCCCCTGCCCAAAGCAAGACCATTCCCAACTAGATCATCCCAGCCAGGGCTTTGTTGAGCCAGGCCTTAAAAACCTCCAAGGATAAAGATTCTACCATATCTCTAGGTAACCCGTTCCAGTACTTCACCACCCTCCTAGTGAGAGTTTTTCCTCATACCCAACTTAAACTTCCCCTCCTACAACTTGAGACCATTATTCCTTGTTCTGTCATCTGCCTTCTTGTAGTATGACATGGGACTTCTTATAGTTGTACTAATGTGCAGTGTTAGGTTAATTACTTTTCAGTGAAAGAATGTTTGAGCTCACATTTACCAGAATTAGTGTACGTCAGCTTAATCCATTGCAGGTGTTTTGTGTCTGCTGTGTCCCACAATAAGTGGAAGCTGAACTATGGTAATTTAGCAGCTCTTTCTGCAGGGGATAAATTTGTCTAGTTTAGCTTCCAATTACTTTTGTGTAGATCAGGCACATGAGGCAGTTTTAAGGGATCAACTGTGCTTATAAGCAGTAACTCTGCTCTTTTAATTCCACAAAATTGTTTCATATGTCCATAACTTTTTCACCCACACTGAAATCTTGTAGAAGTTCTTGGATCTTAATAATTCTTAGTAGACCTGCCATTTTTCTTAACTCTGAAATCAAAACAGAAGGTAGAAGACAAAACTGTGACTGTGCTTTAGATACAGACTGCTTTTACTTGTGATGTTTTTCTGCCCATATGCTCCTTACCAGGGGCCATTGCAGATGCTAAGGACCCCAATGCGCAGTGCAGTTTCCTAGCTATGGAAAGGACAGCATAGTTTCTCTTTGGTCAGTCTTCTATGTGAATCTGTCTAGATAACTGCCTGCTTCAATTCTTGAAGCCATTCTGTCTCTGTCTCCAAACATGATTCTTTTGTGTTTTTCCTGCCAAATGAGAATTTGGTAGGTTCTCTATTCTGCTAGTGCAAGTCCCTCTAGAATGAGGACAGTACGAGGGGGGGACCATCCACCCCAGACTTTCTCTGAGACTGATGGTCACCATGGACCTGTGCTGTACTGTTCGTAAGCAGCTCCATCCTCACAGGGTTCAGGAGCTTGACATCAGAGGAGACTTTGTGGCTGGTTGAAGGATTGGTGAGGTAGAGGCAGTCAGTAGTGGAAAGGACTGTACGTCTCATGGGTGGTAGAAGGAAGGCTGGAGATGAGAGCTCTCAGAAATAGCTTCTAAGCAGACTGGCTGTAAGGGCATTTGTCCACTGACTCTTGCCTGACAGAAAATTATCTCCAGACATTAGCAGTAGAAAGAATAATCTTTCATTGGACCCTGTGCCACTTTCAGCAAGTCACTTCACTACTTTCCAGCAGGTATATTATTTACCAATATCACAGGAGTGTACTAGGATTGGCTCATTTTTTTGCAGGGTTCTTTGAAATTTTCCTATAAAAAACATTTCTTCAAACAGATAGTGGGAGTTTCCCAATCACAAGCACTGGTTCTCTTGGGTGATTTCAATTGCCCTAACATCTGCTTCGAGGACAATACAGCAGTACACAGGCAATCCAGGAAGTTTTTGGAGAGTATTGGGCACAACTTGGTGGTGCAAGTGCTAGAGTGGCCAACTATGGACCATGTTCTTCTTGACCTGCTGCTCACAAACAGAGATGTATTGGTAGGGGATGTAGTAGTGGATGGCAGCTTGGGCAGCAGTGACCCCAAGATGATTGAGTTCAGGATCCTGAGGAAAGGAATGATGGAGAGCAGCAGAGTAAACACCCTGGACTTCAAAAAAGCAGACTTCAACTTGCTCAGGGAACTCATGGGCAGGATCCCCTGGGAAGCCAGACTGTGGGGAGAGGAGTCCAGGAGAGCTGGCTGTGCTTTAAAGAAGCCTTACTGAGAGTGCAAGAATAACCCATTCTGATGCATGGGAAGACTAGCAAGTATGGCAGAAGACCAATTAGGTTTAGCATGGGAACTCTTCAGTAAACTAAATCACAGAAAAGAGGCTTATTATAATTGGAAACTTGGACAAATAACTAGGGAAGAAAATAAAAGCATTGCTTGGACATTCAGGGATGAAATCAGGAAGGCCAAAGCACAACTGGAGTTGCAGCTAGCAAGGGATGTGAAGGGTAACAAGAAGATTTTCTACAAGTATGTCAGTAACAAGAGGAGGATCAGTTCACTTGGCTCTCCAGGGAACTGGCAGACCTCCTGCGTCTTAAAAGGAAGACCGACAAAGGATGGAGGACTGGAACTGCCACCAAGGAGGATTACTCCGCCTTACTCAGTGGTGGCAGATGACAGAACAAGAAGCAACCACCTGAAGTTGCAGCAAGGGAAGTTTAGGTTAGATATTAGGAAGAATTTTCTCACTAGGAGGGTAGTAAAACACTGGCACAGGTTACCCAGAGAGGTGGTGGAATTTCCATCCTTGGAGATTTTCAAGACCCAGCTAGACAAAACTTTTTGGCTGGGATGATCTAGTTGGGGATGGTCCTGCTTTGGAGCAGGGGGTTGGACAAGTTGACCTCCTACAGCCTCTTCCAGCCCCAACTTCTTATGATTCTGTGATTATATAAAAGGACTTTTTTCAATGTCCTGGCACTGTTCTTGTCTCATTAGGTATTGAAGGCAAAATAACCCTTGACTCACTGAAAGAGGAAACCTGCGACACCCCCTTTTTTCACCATAAGTAAAGAATAAGGCGAAGTGATGGGTATCATCCTGTAGCTTTTATATTAATGCTTTACTTTGGTCCCATACGCAGTGCTGTCAAGCGGTTCGTGACCTTATTTGTGAATGTGGATGTCACCTCTGAGCCCCATGAGGTCTCTGCTCTTTGGTTCCTGTGGTATGTGAAGCAGTGTGGGGGTACAGGCAGGATATTCTCCACAACCAATGGTGGCCAGGTACAGTAAGTCTTCCGTTTCATTTCTTGGCTTGCAGTGTGGTTCATGTCAGAATCCATTCAAACTTGATTCTTTTGTTTGCTTTAAAAAAAAGAATTAGCCTTGCTCAGACACTGCACACTGCTGCAATAAGAGCATAACCAAACTCTATGGTGTTCAGTTTACATAGAGGGTCGCACATGCCATTGTGCGTTATGGTTCAGGCCCTAATAATGTGGAAGGCTGTTCTTTTGGCTATGGCACTGCACTGGGGATCAGGAGATTTGGGCTCAGTTTCTAATTCCAGTTTCTACTCTGACTTGGGGCAGATCACTACCCTCTCTGGTAATATTGCTCCCTTGTGCGCTATTGGATGCAGAAACATCTGTGCCTTAGCCACAGTAGCCTGATAGGCCACTGATGCTCAAATAAAACTTAGACCTTTTTGATACTGAAATGGGCATACTTGGCTAATTTCTAATATGTGTGTTAGTTTAGGGTTTGTTTCACACTTTTAGAATTTTCTAGTTAAGCCAAATACTGCTGGACAGATTTTAAGGAAGTGCTACTTGCCATATTTTATTTTTTTTTTGAATATCCACTTCTTATTTTGGCCATTGTTTGTCCTGTTCATGAACAAGTTTGCAGAAGAAAGAAAATTGAATCTAGCTGAGCATTTAACGTTGGAATCCTTCCAAAAAAATTGGGTGATCATTTTCGATCTCCAAAACTAGTTTGGCAGTCGCAGCACAAGAGGCTTTCTCCTGAGATTTCTGTTTTCCATTGCTCTAATGGTGATTAGATCTAGCAAAAGCAGTGGTGCACAAAAAAAGAAGGCTGTTTCCAGAATAAGCCACCTAACTCTCCTAAGGTAAAAAAATAGGCCTTGGTTTGTTCTGTGTCTGGAGTAAAGGTTTCAGATGATTCATGATTTATCCAGTCCAGTTTGCTTATCTCACATTATTTTTATCTTTCAGGAGAGAAAGTTTGTTGGAGGCTCTGGTCAGATTAGCGAGAAGATAACGGAACTCTTGGGGAACCGAGTAAAGCTAGAGAGCCCAGTAATCCGCATTGATCAGTCAGGTGAAAATGTCATAGTGGAAACCTTAAACCATGAGATTTATGAGGTAATTAACCCTTGCATTCATGCAAGTATTTGTTCAAGAAAGCTTTTAAGATCTTTAATTGCTCTGTTTTGTCTTCTCCAAAGTCTTTTAACACAGAATAGCAGAGAATAGAGCTACAGTAAATCAATGGTCACATTTTTCTGAGGCTTGGAACAGGTACCTGAGAAGCAAAGAGTGCTGAAAGATGTACTCCCATCGTTCTCTCACTCTCCTCATTCCTCTGCATTCAGTTAACCTCAGAATAAAAAGACTATGTTCAGGGATGGCAATAGAAATGCATCTTGAGGGTAACATTTTTCCAGAAATATTTCAGGTACCACATAAAGAACCAATTAAAAAATCAGTGTGTTGGACCTTTATAAAAGGAATAGTTTGCCCACTGGATTATTTCAACCATTTAGAAAAGATCGGCTGCAGATCACTGGATCAGATGTTTGCATACATTGTTTTGTTTGTTGGGGTGGGTTGTTTTTTTTACAATTTTTACAACCAGGAATTCCTGAAAGTTTTGTTATGTAACTCTTGTACTATGTTGGCCAGACTTGCCTTTGACCTTCCCAGGTTTCTGCCAAAGAATTGTAGCTATGATTAAGCACTGAAGAATGCATTTAGTTTACATGTTATTTCTTTTCCAGGGTAAATATGTTATTAGTGCCATCCCCCCAGTTCTTGGCTTGAAGATTCATTTCGATCCACCATTACCACCAATGAGAAACCAATTGATTAACCGAGTTCCTATGGGTGCAGTCATCAAGGCCATTGTGTACTACAAAGACACTTTCTGGAGGAAAAAGGGTATTGTGTTTTGATTGGGAGGTTCTTTGTATTATCAGAGGGCACAAGAGTCCACTTTATAGAAAGACAGGCTTGTCTTAAAGGAGATTTCATAGCTTTCCGGTAACTTGTTTGAGTGTCCTAAGAGAAGCAGAGAAAATGACATGAGGAGAGAAGGTGGAATGCACTGGTATTATTCCTTATTTATCTTCCATGGGTCTTCATTGATATCTGGGAAGGAGCCAAGTTTCTGCCATTAGATACATTAGCATAATGGTACATTTGATGCATTTCACAGAGTTTTTATGACATCTACTGCAGATCTGCGATGACTTTATCCTGAGACCATTGTGTAGCTAACATACTGCAGCTATGTCTCTTAGTCTACTAGTGGCTTTAATGGTTAAGCCAGGGTTATTCAACTGACAGCCTGTGAGGGGCCAGCATGGGGCCTACCAGAGGCCAGCATTTGGTATGCAAGCTGCACTCATCCTGTGAGCGGGTAACAAGCAGCCCATGGGCCCTACTGGCTGCCTCTTCTGCTGCCACTCAGTGGGGGTGGGCCCAGTAGTATGTGTGTCACCTGCGTAGTGGTAGGTATGGAGGCTGCATGCTGCCAACCTGGCATGTGTGGTGGGAGACGGAGCTGGGTGCTACTACTCCAGCCCATGTGGCAGGGGGCAGAACTGAGGAGCATGTGCAGCCAGCCCAACCCATGGAGTTGGGGAGATCTTGGAGAAGGCTGCCGCTTTAGTGTGCAGCCTTTGCAGTGTGAGGACCAGGGTGGGCTGCATGCAGGTACCATGTATGGCCCCTGACGGTGCCCTGGGTTAGGATGTTGGTACTTTTTGCCCATTAGGGGTTTGCAGGTGCATTTGTAACAGATGACTGGAAAGATCCCCACCCAGTAGTCTAAAAGATCTGCTGCTTGAATGCTGACTTAATAATTCTTGTACCTTAACTGTGCTTTCAGAATAAATGTACAAGTGTCCTGATATGTCTTATATCCAGCATATCTGATGTGCTTATCTTTTATGAGTGCTTTGTTCAATATGTTCAAAGCAATTGAGCATCTCCAATATTTGAGAACAACATGCTTTGGTGCACTTAATAAATTTCCTAATTATGTGAATTACAAGATAATTGCTATTCTATGTCAATTCAATTATGTGAAATCCCTTATGTTGTCCTTCTATTTCCAGGATATTGAGAAGGGATTGTTAAAGAACCATGGGATCTAAACCATCTCCCCTTGCTAGAGTGTAGTATTTCTCAGAGCCCTACTAATAGCACTCAGTCTCTGGTAGTACAATGCCACAGGTGGAGGGAATGGTGGAATAAACTTTTATCACATTGTTTTGTTAATTTGGGATGGGTTTTTTCTTCCTATTTCCTGCTCTTTCATAGCTCTCAGGTTCTAAAATAAATTCTCATATGTGCTTTGCAGGCTACTGTGGTACCATGATCATTGAAGATGAAGATGCTGCAATTGGTCTGACACTTGACGATACCAAACCTGATGGCAGTGTTCCTGCTATAATAGGGTAAAAGATAATATGGACAGTGAAATGCTACCTGTTGATGTTTTTTGATTTGGGAGATGCTCAAAAGTGGAAATAAGTCATTGAACGGAAAACCTCTGATAAACAATTAAGAAGTAGAGCTAATCAAAAACTGTCAAATACTTTTTTGTCCAACTAGTTAAAAAAAAACACATTTTCTTGCCTTTTTATTTTAAAGTTTTTTTAAAAAAAATTGGTAAAATATTTTTTAAAAAAGAAACATTTTTCTCCATTTTTTCTCCCCATCTCTGTTCAGTGGTAAACAGGGAAGAAAGCAAAAAAAAAAAAAAAAGGTGCATGGGGGAAGAAACAACAAATTAAAAAACAAAATAAAAATCTTTAATATTTCTCGAAATATTTTGCTCTCCTTTAAAGGTTTTAATGAAAAATCAACAAACTTTATTGAAATGGATTTCATTCTAAGGAATGTGTAGGTTTTTTAATTAATCAAAACTTATATTTGTGGTTTCTTAATAAAGATATTGAATCATCCTCCCAATTCCACTCCATGCTTCAGAATTCTTTGTTACATATGTACATGAACTACTGTATAAAATGTTGGGCACCATAAAACAGCTCCTACAGCTTTGAACCCTGGCCCTTCTGTCCTTCCCTGAACAGAAGGACCAAAACCAGCAGTCTACACACTACTTGTGCTGTGGCACCTAGCTGGAAAGGAAGGGTGTGGACATGGGTCTGCAGAAAGGTGACTAAACAGATGTACCAGTCATTCTGCCTTTCCTTCTTGGGTGGAAGAGTGTACCCATTTCAGTGGGTGCTGCAGTCCTATAGCTATGTTACCACTCTGCTAAATACAGGGAAAAATCTATCCTCCTCCCTTGTACCTCAGTCCCAGTGAATATCCCCAGCATGCAGCCACTAGTGACTGTGCTGGAAACTGAGATTAAATCCTGCCAACTGGAAGGCAAGTTTCTAGTCAGAGTTCTTGGCAAAAAAAAAGGATTTAAAGAACTGGCAAGGGACCACTAGAGAGAAACAGAAGACTGAACAGAACCTGGCATCAATTTAGCTCCATGCTGATCCTGTTTTAAAGTGTACAAGTATACGTATACAGGGGGCACATCTACACATTCATTAATAAACCATATTTATTGCACATTAGGTTTATTACTTGGATAACCAAGTACTAAATCAATGCATAGTAACTGGCACTACTACACAGTAGCACCAGCGCATGGTTTTTTTTAAGGCTAACTGTGCAATAGCCTAATACTACTGTGCATTAGCGTATTGGCATCATTTTTGCCCTGCACGCTAACGCATAGTAGAATTAGGCTACTGCACAGTTAGAGTCTTGTGTAGATGCACCCAGTGATGATGTGAAAGTAACAGTATT